TCTTGGCTCCTTTCCTTCTAATAGGAAAGAAAATTCTACAGGAAATGTGTCTAAAGAACATTGGATGGGATGAGCCACTGCCTAGTGAATTGAAGCCACAATGGGAGAGTTGGGTCACTGATCTGAAGAACCTGCAGCAACTCCAAATCCCAAGATGCTTTATACCTGAAAACCTTGGAAAAGTCCAAAGAATAGAACTCCACCACTTTTCAGATGCGAGCAATCGCGGGTATGGTCAGTGCTCATATGTCCGGGTGATGAGTGAAGACAAAGTGCATTGCTCCTTAGTCATAGGCAAAGCAAGAGTTGCACCCACGAGAGTTGTAACCATACCAAGGCTGGAATTAACAGCAGCAGTGGTGTCTGCAGCAGTCAGCAGAATGCTAAAAGAGGAACTGGAGCTCAAAATTGATCAAGAGTATTTCTGGTCTGATTCACGGGTGGTTTTGGGCTACATTAACAACGAAGCCCGCAGATTTCATGTTTTTGTTGCTAATAGAGTGCAAAGAATCAGAGAAGCAACTGATCCAGCACAGTGGCACTATGTTGACACCAATCAAAATCCAGCAGATCACGCTTCCAGAGGCCTCACAGTGGCAGAACTGATCAGTTCAAATTGGCTCACTAGACCTCATTTCCTGTGGGAAAGAGGGTTTGTCACACCAGACTCAACTCCAGACCTTCTGGTAGGTGATCCAGAGGTCAAAACGACGCAAATACTACAAACAAAGGTAGTAGAGGACTTCTTGGAGCGACTCAAAAGGTTCTCAAAATGGCATACAGCAGTTAATGTAGTTGCTAGGATTCAGCAACTAGCCAAAAAAAAGCCAGAATACAACTAGGAAATAGAAAACTATTGAAAGAGGGTGAAAGGCTCAATAAACCATCCACTCTTGAACGCCCTATACATAAATTAGTGGTCCTAATAGAGAGTAATTAGAATGTTCCAGTGGAACTTCTGTAAATGTATATGGGATGGTTAAAGTGTTAGACTTGAATTGCAAGATTGTCACAATTAAGTACTGTTTGGTTCAGAAAATTTCTAGATTTATTCAAATTATTAACAGTTCATAAATCTTAGTAATTTGGTGGGAGTGTAACTGTCCCTGAGACAGTTAAAATAAAGTTGTTTATTTCAAATGTTTCTGTGATAGAGAGATGCTTAATTTGGTTCATTTAATTACTAGATAAGATGATAAAAGTGTAACATTGATTTAAAAACATGTCTAAAATATGTGATTACAAATATGGGTTTGTTAAATATGTAACGTGCTGTAAAGTTTGTATGAGGTAGAGTTTGTAATGGTCACATGATCAGAGTTTGTTTGACAGCGCTACCATAGCAACCATAGCATGGATACATAGCTACAGATGCGTCTACAGCCTCGACGTTAATGTCATTCTGCATGTGGTCCAAGAGGCGCACACGGTATGGTTTCATGTATAATGTTTGTATAATGTTGCATATGTGTTCTACCCTGTTAATGAGAGGACATTTTGTGATTCATTATTGCGCATTTTCTTTCTGTTCTGCTTGCACGAGACTGTTTATGGACAATGGTACGAGAGACTGATAAGTTCAAACCGTTATTGTGTAAACTTTGTGTTTCTTCAGTTTTCACGGTGTCTGAAGATAATAAGAGAGAGAGAGAGAGAGAGAGCAAATAAACATCCGAAGACATCAGTATGATGCGTGGCCATTCTTTGTTGGACCCCTGTAGTTACACTCCCCTCACTGATTAGTTAATTGATTTCACTAGGTTTCTCTCCCCACACACCTGCAGCTCATCTCCCTGTCATCCTGCCCCAGTGTATTTAACCCTGTCTGCATCTCAGGCCCTGTCCACACGTAGCTGGGGATCTGCCAAAACGTAGATATTTTTCTACGTTTTGGCCTGTCATCCACACGAAAACCGAGTTTTTTCACACAAAAACGAATCTTTTTAAAAACTCAGGCCAAAGTGAAGATTTGCGTTTTCTCCATTTTGGGTGTCTGCGTGTGGACAGACAAAACCGGAGTTTTAAGGTCCGCAACGTCACTTTCCGCAACAAAAAATGCTGACATCACGTGTGCGACCTGTGTTTACACTAGCCGACAGCATGGATGCCCTCAGAGCTGCGCTCGCTTTATCAATTGTCCAAGCGCTTTTTGCTTGTTTGTTTTTGCAAGCGGAATTACTGCTCCTTGCGGAAGACCACAGACAAAGGACGAGGTTAAGAACGGGGGAAGTACTGCCGCCTACAGGTCTGACATGTCCTTAACAACGTATTTATCCGGTTACGTGTGGACAGAGTTGTTTTTTAAAACGAGGTGGTGTGGATGCAAGTTTTTGGAGGGGCGGATATTCGTTTAAAAAAAAACGGCTACGTGTGGACTAGGCATCAGTGTGTGGTTAGTTCATTGTTTGTGTCAACCTGGTCTCATCCCCCTCTCTAGCTTTTTGTATCTCTAGGTCTCTTGTGTTTTTGTGTTCTCTACGTTTAGTTATTAGGATTTTTGGATTTTGTTTTTTGGCGGCCTGCATTCTTTGGATTTACTCCTTTATTAAAGGATTTTTACGTTTTTTTCCACCTCCTGCCTCAATATCTGGTTCTGCATCTTGGGTCCTAACCTCTCTCCAAAACCACCCCGTGACAAGACCTATCTTTTAGTTCTTTATACTTGTATGTCCAAGACACATAAGCATCCTGCCTATAACATAATTGTCAGGGGGTAATTTGTTTGACCTCGATAGATGTGGGTGACTAATCCCTTCTCTCTTTGAATATTGTTTTAGTGCCAATGTTCTAGCTGCTCACCAAACAGGCATTTGTAGTTATTGTATTTAATACAGTTCCTGTGTTTGTTGCCTTTCTCAGAACAGCTCTAGTTTCTCTGCTGTACTCTTCTTTTGACATTGGTTTCAGCTGGTAAGTATTGATCTTGAAGAAACTCAAAGGGGACCTATTATGCCGATTTGACTTTTTGCATCTTTTTTTGTGCTGCCATGAGGGTTTCCACTGCTTCTTTGAACACTCCAAAATGTTCAGCTGTTTTCTGTCAAGTCAATGTGGGTGTGGCCAGCTTCAGCACATCTTTCTTTAAGTGACGGAGTCCTGAAATGGCTCCTTCTGGAAGGTACTGAAAATATTAGCGGTGTGGATCACTGAAAAACTATTTCTTATTATTCCTGATCATAATCTGTCACTCTTCTGTGTTGGCTTCAAATAGAGAATAGACAGTGACACTCTAGGATGTGAAAAAGCCAGATAGATCTACGTCAGTCTACTTTCAGTTATAGTAAGCTGTTGTCTAACATTAGTGTTGGAATGGTTGTAGTTTGTGATTTGGCTTTAAACATTGATTAAATCGTTAATGCACTGTTTATATCTGAATTAGAGTTTTTACTGGACAATATGTCACAATTAAAAAAATATTGAAATAATTTAAAGCAAGACACAAGCCAACCCAGTAAAGTTTAACTTACAACCACTGCATTCCAATAGATGACCGGTGTACCTGGCTCCCACTGGCTGGCTGCTTCTTCGTCTCTGGCTGTATGCGGTCAGTCATCACGTGTATTCTTCTGAGTATGAGTCAATAGTGTGCTGATCAAACTTACAGAAAAATTGTTCTCTAGATTCAAAAAATTATTTTATTGTTTTTACCCTCCCTTTTTTCTTTCTGAACCTGTTGCATAGCATCCAGTGAGCACAGTGGAGGTTTGGCGGAGAGACATGTGCAGTCCTAATGGTGCATGATGTTCCTGTAGCTTAAAATAATAGTTGATTCTCTCTCTCGCTCTCTCTCTCTCTCTCTCTCTCTCTCTCTCTCTCTCTGTCTCTCTCTCTCTCTCTCTCTCTCTCTGTCTCGCTCTCTGTCTGTCTCTCTCTCTCTCTCTCTCTCGCTCTCTGTGTCTCTCTCTCTCTCTCTCTCTGTCTCGCTCTCTGTGTCTCTCTCTCTCTCTCTGTCTCACTCTCTGTGTCTCTCTCTCCAAACTTCCTTCCAGTATTTAATGTGTCTCGTGCCTCCAAATACCACAACCTAATTTTTTACTATACTGGCAGCTCAGCTTATGCATATAAATATACACTGTGCAGCATGCTAACAAAATGATCAGTATCAACCGTGATTAAAAAGCAGCTTCAGCTCTCAATTCTACTCTTGCTGAACAGTGTGCACCACATTGAACTGACTGATGTAAGCTAATTTGGCGAAGCAGCTCTTCCATCTTGACACATTGTCCAGGCCACAACTCTAATCCAGCTCCATTCATGAGTTGATGCATTTTCCCATCATTTTATTGTATAGGTTTATCTGGTACAATGTGAGTATTTTTTACTAAGCATACTTTTTATTATCTTAATAATTTGTTTTCCATGATGTCTCAGCAGTTTATGAGTCAAAGCTGCCATTGAAGTAGTTCATTATTTCTAATAACCTTGTGTTTTCTATACTTCCATAAAAACATAGTGTGACATAATTGTTTTCTCATGACTGCAGAAGCGCCTCAGCTGTGTGTACTGATGCACGTTTTGCTTAAACAACAAAATGAACAACAAAAACCACCAGAAATGAACAGTCACTGAGTGTCACTGAGTGTGAGCCTAGAACATATTAACTATTACATCAACAACACAAAGCAATAACAGCTGTTCTCAACTTAATCTAATGTTTTTATAATCTTTAACTTTATTTGCATTTATAATTTTTTTTTTTGTATCGTCACTTCAAAGCAGTGGGAAAAAGTGAGCTGTCTATGTGTCTGTCTGATGACAAAAGCTGGCATTTTTAGGCACAGCATGTGCTAGAATAAAAGTAAATATTCATCACAGAAATATACAAGCTCTTGGAAAATAGAAACAATAAATGGGTGATTTGATTCTAAAAGGACAAGCAAACGTGAATCCGAGTGGAACATTTTAAAATTAGACTTCTTGAACAACACCGCTCTCTCGTGGACGTTTAAGATACCGAAGCAAATGGAATGTAGGAACTATCGTTGCAACTTTTGTTTCCGCTCGGAACCTTTTGTCAGATGGTCGGCATCGACGGAAGTAGCCACAAGCTTAGTAGCAGCTTTAGAAACGTTTTTTTTAATTAAATACTAACATTTAGTCACCTTTCTTACCTTCAGCTATTTTGATCATTTCTGATGTGCTTGTTGCCGTTTCAGCGAAAGTGAACGTGGTGTCGCATTTGAACTTTTCCGTGCAGCCAGGGAAACATCGTTTCACCTCTTTACCGACTGTAAGTTAACATGTTTCCCCGGTTCACGTTTAACATTACACACATCACCGGCGCACTAACGCCTTGGTGTCGTTTCACAGTTTTTGCTGTTTTCTTTCCTTCAGATTTGAACACGATGAATAAAGAAGCCAGACTAAAAGCAACGATAAACCAGAAACTGACAGAGACGGGGGAACGAGAGAGGTACGCTCAGTTAGCTGCCAAGGCAATGAGCAAAGATGGTTGTAGGAACAGGTTTTAAAACCCTTTTTGGAGATATTTTGTTCCAAATGAAGTCGTTAACAGTATTTAGTGACAGGGGGATTTTAGTCCGGGAACATCTTTGAATTTACAGGTGTCTGTTTCAGACGATTCTCATAGCAGCACGAGGTCAGGTGTGGAAAACACAAAGCTGAGTTTTACATGTCAAAGATGAAAATATATTTCAGTCCAGTAGCATCTAATTTTGCTCCATTATTCATTCCTGACTCAGTGGTTCGATCATCCTCAGGGAGCCCCAGGCATTACCTGTTGAATTGAATCAGTTGTGTTGCAGCGGACCGTCTGAACCTGCAGGGTAGTTGACCTCGATGACCCGGATGGTGCTCCGCTGATCCACACTGTTGTAAAAGTAAAGGTGTAAAAGCCCCTCGCTGTTTATGACAGCAGCATGTGTGCACAGGAAGTTATTACGAGGTGTTTTTATTGGACTGAAGAGAAGAGACAAACACATCCAGCCAACATGAAGTTCACAAACTATTTAAATTCAAATAAATGGAACGAAGATGATCAAACTTCCCTTTGAAAGATTTTGTGGGTTAAGTATTGTCCTACTTACAGAACATTTTCCACGTCCGGGTCGCAAAAACCAACAGGAAGTTATTGTGCTTTAGGCATGAGCTCATCTGCTCAAACAGTCTTTTATCTCATTAACAGACTAAAGGAGCTGCTGAGAGCCAAACTCACTGAGTGTGGATGGAAGGACCAGATGAAGGCTCAGTGCAAAGGTAAACTATTAGAGCACATGTTACTATCTCTTTATATTTAGTGGATAAAGAGATTGAAGTATGAGCTATAAATGGTGGCATGTTTTAATATTTTTTCCCATTTTCTGGAAGTACAACTGTTTTTAATTTCACCTTCTGTTGTTGTTTCCTCTAATGACCTATTATGGTTTCAAATACAGATACAAACTGATCAGTTCATCTGTTTTGTTTTTAATCTGCTTCATTTATCCTGTCAATTTATTATAAATTTCAGATATCTAATTATAAAATTGAGATGTAGTTTCGTTTTAAATGTGTTGGTTTAATAAGTAACTTGTTGATCACGGCTCCCAACATGTTATGAAAAGTCAGATCTACAAAGAAATGCTCCGAAAAATCTGCAAAAACAAAAAACAAACTCAAGAACCATAACAGTAAATTCCTAACCTTTGTCTATAAAAATTAACAACTCAATCCAAACAAAGGTCCTTTTACTAAAGTAAAATTTCAAACCTGCAACTTTGGTCTTGTTGGGCTGTACAAAAACACCAGTAGATCACCGATTCTTTTAAAACGTGACTGATTTAAACATAGACAGTAATAGTTTGAGTGTGAGGACTTTGGGACTAACCTCGTGCTGCTCTGTTTGGATGGGAGTTCAGGGACATGATCTTTTTATTACTTTTCCCTTTTTTGCAGAGGTGATCAAAGAAAAGGGGTTGGAGCATGTCACGGTGGAGGACCTTGTGGTAGAGATCACTCCTAAAGGAAGAGGTAACCATTCATACTGGTTACAAGCTCTAAATGTCACCAAATATCAGTCACAGTTAAGCTTTTCATGATTTTATTTTTCACCAAACGGAGCAGGAAGTGTATGTGTTGACATAAAGGTTCTGAAGAAAACAGAAATCATCTCAGTGTCTTTTTTTCTCTTGCAGCCTTGGTGCCGGATAGCGTCAAGAAAGAGCTTCTACAGAGAATAAGAGCCTTCCTTACCCAGCATGCTTCATAATATGGCTTTTTCCTTATTTGTTAATTTTGTTTTTATTTTTATTTAGATTCACATAAATCCAAATACATTTTAGAATATGTTGGAAGTGGTCACTGGCCAGTTGTTATTTTCTTATCCTTTGATTTCAGTCATTTCATGTTTCTAATGGTCTAATAGTTACATTTTTGTAAACGCAAAAGCTGCTTAAATAAAGCTCTTGATTTGCTGGACAAATGTTCTTTTTATTTTATTTAGTGTGAGATGTGGTTTTATTCACCCACTGTTTAGCTAAACAACTGAAAGCTTTTTTGAACACTTTAACGTAACGAGAGAAATTAATATCTCCACACTGGGTGTGTCTTCATGAAATCAGATCAGTTGTTTGCAGTGCTAATTAAAACATCTGTACACGTTAAAAACTGAAACTGTAGGGAAGAATATTTTAAGACCTCAAAGCTTTTCTTCGTAAAGCTCCATGTTGTGAGTCACTTTGGGTAAAAGATTTTGCTGAATAGCAAACATAAGTTGAGGCAAATTGACTGTTTTCTCTAAATGAAGACGTGTGTGTGTGTGTGTGTCTGCTATCAGTACGTCAGGCAGCTTCGCACCTGGACCTTCATAGATGGAGCCAAGAGTTAACAGGTCAGGATTTACGGTTTTAACATGAATCACGCGATGATGCTGTGGAGTCCAGCTTTTGATTAATTGGACACAAAGCCAAAAAGTCGTGATCCCCAACAGCGAGCCAGGTGCTGCTTTGCTCCCAGAGGTGATAGATCATGAAGGGATGAAACCAGAGTCGTTTCGTGTACAAGTGGCAAGGTGCCTTCTCTGAAATAGTTAACTTATGTTCATATATATATATATATATATACATACACACACATATATAGGGGCAGCAGTAGCTCAGGTGGTAGAGCGGGTTGCCTCATGATCGGAGGATCATGGGTTCGATTCCAGCTCCTGCCAGGGGTATCCTTCTGTTGTGTCCTTGGGCAAGACACTTCACCCAACTTGCCTGTGTTAGTGGTGGTCAGAGGGGCTGAGAGCGCCAAATGGCAGCCTCGCCTCTGTCAGACCTCCCCAGGGCGGCTGTGGCTACAAGTAGCTTACCATCACTAGCAGTGTGTGAATGTGAGAGTGTGTGGAAGCGTCTTTGGGTGTCTTGAAAAGCGCTATATATAAGTTCAATGCAGTATATATATATATATATATATATATATATATATATATATATATATATATATATATATATATATATATACTATATGATTTATTTTCTGTCATATCAAATTCAATTTTTTGTCATTATTGGTGAGATCAAGTTGTTTATTATTTACGATTATAATTTACAGAATGGTATTATTACTGAATGCTTTTTGCTGTTTTGATGCTAAACTAACTTCAGCTTTTATTCCATGTGGGGATAAGGTGTTTGTTTTCAGGTAGATGTGTTGTGATACTGCTCTGTTTGGATGTAAGGTGTGAGCTAGGACACATCCATCCATTATTCGGTACCCGCTTGTCCACACAGGGTCGCAGGGGGGGCTGGCACCTATCTTCAGCGGTCTCTCGGGAAACAGGTGGGGTACATCCTGGACAGGCTGCCGGTCCACCGCAGGGCAACTCAGAGACATGAACAACCAAGCACAAACACTCACAAGGACAATTTGACAGTCATATTTTTTGGACTGTGGGAGGAATCCACACATGCACAGGGAGAACATGCCGAAAGGCTGGGATTTGAACCCAAGACATTCTTACTGCAGGGCAACAGCAGTAGCCACTGCACCACTGTGCAGGCTACAAACAATTACAACAGTTTTTAGGTCTTTTGCATGCTTTTATTATTCATGTTCTGTCTTCATAAATCCACAAACACATTTACAAAAAACGTTTGGAGAAAATTTGCTTAAACTACAATTTTGTAATGGTAACCTAAAAAAACTTGACTCCTTTTATGTTAAGGGAAGTTACAAACAGCCTCATCAGAGAGTCTGAAGAGCCGAATGTGGTTGCAGAGTAGTAATCCACTTCTACCTAACCGTTAGCTTATCAATCTTTGTCAGAACCCATCTTTGTTTCTCCAAGCTGATGTTGTTCTCAGAGCTACCCACAACAGGTGAGATCACAATTGTTCATAACACAACCCCACTCCTTAAGATCTGTTTTTCTTTTTTGATTGGACCTACAGTTTGTGTTTCACATCTTCATGGTTACCCTGCTGATCTAATTGGTTGTGAATTACTTTTGCTCATGAACCCAGAAATAAAACCCCTCTTGGCGTGAGCTGCACATTAGTGTGCAGCATCAGACTGAACGCCCGTCACTCACACAAGACAGAGTATGTTTTCTCAGCCGAAAATCCCCGCTATGACTTGAGCCTAGGTGACAACATGCTGATGTAGAGTTGTGTTGTTGGGGCCAAATGTAACACACCCCTCAGTCCTGCACACAGTCCTGCGCACACGTTCCTTTAATGGCTGACATCAATCCCCATGTTATCAGCAGATCTCCCCAGGCGCTCAACATACAGGTGGTTCTGAACCCAGAGCTGACCGCAAACCGGCACTGGATCCAGTTACCGCTGGTGCAATTTATTATCATACAGATTTTTATTTACATTCTCGCTCTGTGTTCTCAGCTTTTCTCCATCATTCGGGCTCTGAGCTGCCCTGTTGTGGAGCTGTACATGAACCAGATAACTCTCCACATCATAAAAAAGTCATGCGAGAAAAAATATTACAAATACAAGGAAAACATGATGTTATAAATCTTAAATATAAGGAAAATATTGCGTTATAAATCCTATTCTCCACATTATTTGTTCACAGTGGTCTGACCCAAAGGGTCGCATGAACCAGTTACTGTTACAACTCTGTGTTTGGACAAACCATCGAAGAGCTTCTTCATATAAGTCTCTGTAGCCATTCTGAGACCGTTTGGGTGTTTTCATCTGACCAGCTAATCAAAAGCATCTGTCTTTTGTGGAGCTCTTGGGAATTGTTCCAAATTAGCCCAGAAAATAGACAGTTCATTAAATTAGTTACAGAATTATCCGTAATGCAAGACATGAACATTTCCTGGGAGTACAAAAATTTACAAGCCTTTTTTTATCCATTGGCTAAATTTACTGATGTAGTTCTGGATGTTAAAACCCAAAAGATCTAACCTCAGAGACTCAAAGAAGAAGCAACCTTGGGTGGGACCCAATCTGATGAAAGAGAATTACCTGACAACAGCTGATTGATTGTCATTGGCCGTTTATTCCAAAGCTTGTTAACACAGATCTAACCAGCCCTTCACACGGCAGCAACACAGTGCATTCAGATGTCTAGATGTGGTGGAGTTCAAACTGAGCTGCAGAATGGAGATGAGATTTAAGAGACTTTACATGTGACAGGGTTATTGGTACAATATATATGTTACAGAGAATGTTCTGAAAAAGAGAAAATATCCCGTCAGCTGCAGTTGTTTGGGTGAACATGTCTTGTTAAGGTGAGAGGGTACTGGTCAGACTGGTTCTAGATGATGGAAAAACCTTTTCTGGTCTGCAACATTCAGATGGTCGGGTCAGAATTTGGAGTCACCATCATGAAAGCTTGCATCCATCGTGGCTCGTAGGGACAGCAGCAGCTCGGGAGGTACAGCGAGTCGTCCAGTAATTGGATGGTTGCAGGCTCGATCCCGGCTCCGACCAGAGAATTCTGCTGTTGTGTCCTTGGGCAAGACACTTAACCCGCCTTACCTGCTGGTGGTGACCAGAGGAACCGGTGGAGCCAGTGTTCAGCAGGACAGCTGTAGCTACACTGTAGCTCATCCCCACGAGCGTGTGAATGGGTGAATGACTGATGATGTTGTAGAACTCTAATAAGGTGCTATATAAATACAGACCATTTGCATCAGTGCCTCAGGCTGTTGCTGCTGGTGTAATGGCAGTGTTCTTGTCCCACTTTGGACCTCTACCACATGCGCCTGGTTTAAACACCACAGCCTACTCAAGTGTAGTTGCTGACCACATCCATCCCTTTACAACCACATGGACCCATCTTCTGATGGCTACTTCCAGCAGGATAAAGCACCATGTCACAAAGCTCAGATCATCTCTAACCGGTTTCTAGAACATGACCATGTGGAACGACCTACATAGTCAACAGATCTGAGTCATGTCCAGACCCTTAGAGAATGGAACAGGAGATCCACATCATGGATGGCGCTGATGCTTCCCTGTCAGTATGGACCAGAACATCTGGAAAGATTTACAACTCCTTGTTGGGTTTCTAGTACAGTTCTCAAGACAAACGTGGTCCAACCCATTACTGGCACGGTGTACCTAATAAAGAGACTGCTACATGCATGTGGTCATTTTTGTATCAATGTGCAGACAAATGGAAAAATGGGAATTTTTGTCTTTGGGTAAATTAAAATATTCCACTTAGCAACAGTCTGAAAACCTTGTGTTGGACTGTGTTGGTGAAGCAGCCTCTGGGTGACCCAGCAGCAAAGAGTAAACCCAGCATCAGAGCGGAGCTGTGTGCGAGGAGCACTTAATGACATTTAAAAGAAAAGACCATATTTTATGTGTTTCCATGTGCGCATGTAGGGAGGTGTGCACAGATATGTTCACCACCCCTGGAACTGCTGCATGATAGCAGCTGTGTCAATAATCAAAAGAGCCAAAAAGTGTGTCCAGCGTGCCGAGTCCCAGAGGTGCTCTCCTCTCCTCTCTCTAGTGAAACTGCCAACATCCAGAGATCATAAACACCTCTCTTACTGTACAAACATCTGAGGAGAAGGCAGTGCCGGTTGGAAACAGATGGTAGGAGCACGCTCACATTATGAGGAATTCTTGAGAAATAATGATGCTCGTAACCGTGCACCTGCTTCCAGACTTTAAGCTGAGTCAATCACAAGTCCCGATCATGTGACGGTAATAACTAATTCTCCATGTTTTCACAGCATTTCTGACAAAACAGCAAGAGGAAGTGTTTCAAAGACGCTGAACAAACATGGAAACTGACTGAGATGGTGTTTGAAAGCAAAACAAAGACAGCCATGTGCTCCTACAAGTGCCCCAGCCACGGGGCTCAGTTGGCCGTCTTTACTGTCAACACGTGTGAATACCATGCTCGATAAACTTCTCTTTGAGTTCTCTCACTAGAATTTATGAAACGTGCAACATGGGGCTGCAGCTCTTTTGAAGCGGACACATTTGCTGCACTTAGCGCCCTTCA